TTCTTTTATTCCATTTCAACATTATTTGACCTAAATTGTATATGACACATTTTGATTGGCAGGTAGTGAGTATAGGGCGAGCGACATTGGTTGTTGCTGTAGTCAGGTTGTTCGTTCGAGGAAGGTTGCTCTTCATGCACGAAATAAACCTGAGTCTGCTTCGTACTTGGAATTGCTCGACCTGAACCGCAGAAGTGACCGCTGGTATTTCTTATGAAGGAGCTGCCACTTGTGATTATGATGATGAATCCTTTGAATGTTCAACCTGAATTATTACCGCTTTTCAGTGCATTGTTTGTAAATATTGTACCACCTGCCTTGTCTTACTCACGAAGTTTCTATTTATATAACATTTTTATTTTTATATCTTTTTTAAGTTGGTACTGAAAATCAGATTTTCGAAGATCCCACGATTTTGAATATCTTCTTCGAACAGATCGTCGACTCGGTTTGGAAGCAGAAGCAAATGCAGGCCGTGTTTCAGCTGACATTGGCCGTCACGATTCGACTATTGAACCAGCGCGCCCTCACTCCAACAGGTAATGACATGTATTTATTATGGGTTAGCATTTTTATAGCGTGTCAAATCATTCGATGTACATACAAAACGAGCCATTCGTTTTGAACTTAGTTTCAATAGCCGTTTATCCTTTCTGGTCACGGAGACGGGCGCGTCAGTCAGTGTGGTAGAAGATGTTTTAAATGCTTTGTCGACGTATCAGTTCGGTAGAAGATAAATCAGTTCTGGAGCAGACTCTGTGAGACATTTCTCCCTTTTCTTGCCCTTCCTCTTCCTCTTTGATCGGTCGATTAAACAAGAAGTAGCTGTTTCACTGTAGCTGTTTCCCTTCCCTCTCTGGAACTGTTTCCAAAACGCGCCCAAAAATTGTAGCTGTGATTTCTCAGTCTGACGACGCAGCGGCTGTACACCAAGGCCCTGTCGAATTTTCGTATTCTGGACTACGTCGATACGCGTGAGCATTCTCCCACGAATTCTAACTATCGAACATAGAGTGATATCTACTCAGATATGTTACAGCCTGCGTAAAAATTATACTACTCTTCTTGGGTCTTGGAGTCAGATGTTTTATGGCAACTTCTTTCCAAGAACTTTAGGTAGACTTTAACAGTGAGGCTCAGTACAATAATGCACTGGCAGTTGCAGCATTTCCTATGCTCCTTTCTTGAACAGGGGTATTATAACGCTCGTTCTCCAGGCTATTGATTTCTTCTTCGTAGTCACTCCTGTTTGTCAGACTCGTGTAAACCAGCACATGCGTTGTTCGCCTAAATTTTTAGACATCTCATGGATTTCATCGATTTCGGTAGCCTTGTTATTTTTCGAACCTTTCACAACTTCTGCGACTTCATCTACCGAAATACTAATATTCATTGTCTGCCGCCGTTCAGCCAAGTCTTCCTGTGGTAGCTCAGAGTTAATGAGTTCCCCAAACTATTTTCTCCATCATCGAAGAACATCCCTCAAGACTTTTGGACTGCCCTTGCTTCTATCGTGGAGTCAGAGAATAGTCTATCAGAATACTTTGTTAGCAGGCTGAAAATTCGACTCCATCACCTGAGTGTACTTTTTCCATGAATCTGGTTTCGCTTTCGCTACTTGTTTAGTTTCTGCCTGAGGCACCTCTTACAGTATTTGATTTGAATTTTCTTTGCTTCAAAGCCATCTCTTGAATGAAGCATTTTCTTGCTGATGGTTGGATGATCCATAGATGTTCATGAAGTCTGTTTCTGACGGCGCCCACACCTATGTTCAACGCGTTTTAAGCTGCAGCAATCAGCAGCAGACTCGCGTAATTCACAGTTGGTTTTGACGTCAGATGTCATCACGCGAATCTGCACAAAGCGTCATGCAACGTTGTTTGCGAGTTTCACCCTTGTACCTGTAGGCGATAATGTCCCATTTGATTCTCTGGTTGATTCTGCCGTAAGGTCGTCAATGCGGTCGTCGATGGTATTCCATCCTTTGCAGCGAGGGATGCCAACAACGTATTTGAATTATCGTTTATAATTATAATTGCTGTCTTGAGCAATACATCGCTTCCATTACGGCTAGGAAGAGTATTCCCTTAGAAAATGGTGGATCTCGAGGTTCGATCGTTGTCCTACCAACGACTTGAACTCTCACTACAACACAGTTGTATGGATGATGTCTTTTTAACG